GGTTTTACAGGGCCCTAAACCCTACACCCTAAACAGGGGTTCAGGGTTTAGGTTTTAGGTCCTCCAGCAGCACCCTTTCACGTTCACTCTTTTCTTAGTGTCGGGTTGCGGAGTACTTTGGTGCCAAGCGTACCCTAAACCCTCCCACGGTTTAGGGATTAGGGTTTAAGGTTTAGGGTACACTGGCCAAGCCAGGAGTACGGTGGTGCCGGTGGTAATGCCTACGTGGTTCGCTTCACCAAGAGGTGCGGAACTATTCCTCCAGGCTCTGTGGCCAAAGCCTTCGTGGACGAAGAAATCTTCAACTCTGCGTATCATGTCCTGAACCACCTTCCCGATGTGAAGGCGTTTTCGGGTTCAGGGTTTAGATTTTTTGACGTGCTTTTTCAGGGTCTTTAACCTTTCCTGTCGTGTCCTGAACCATCTCTGAAATGTGAAGGCATTGGCTGGTCTGGTGCCCGCAAAGAAGAAATTTGATGCCTTGTGCGTCCACGTGAAGAAGACAGACGCCTGTTGCAGCACGTGGAAGGCCACACAATCACAAGACTAAACGGACAACCAAACTAAACACACAACAAAGAAAACTATTTCTTTACTTCTTCGATTTTATAAGCCCAAGACCCTGAACTCGAGTGTCTGATGTTGGGAGCACATGGAAGGCCACAAGAACTTGCCACTTTCTGGTCATGCAGGATGGTGGTGCCCCGGATGCGGATAACATGGGCCCTAAACCATAAAACCCACCCCGAAGCCATGAGTCATAAACCCTTTAAGTCCTAAACCCTAAACTCTAAGAGGCCCGAACCACGAACCGAAGAGGGTTTAGGGTTTAGGGCAGAGGTGCGAAGACATTGGAGCAATGTGTCGAGGGACGACATGCACTGCCCGCTGGCAAGCTCAAGGAGCTTATACTGTCTGCCATCAATGCCGCCCTCTCCTTCCACAAGAAAGGTTGGTACCATGGGGACTACCAGCTCAAAAACCTGATGGTGGACCACGTGTGCACCCCAAAGACCTTAAA